TTCAAAGAACCATTGTGCATTACAGGTAAGTAAATGGACATAATAGTCTCTGGTGACTTAATTGTAATCTGTTCAAACCCCCACTCGCTGTGAAGACCGCTTTGCCAGAGTTTATAAGTCACCTAAGCCCAACTGTAATCCTTGTAAGAACCACATAACAATAAGCCAGCAAGTATGGATGGAAGGGAGCATGGGCCACAAAGGTGAATAAAGTGATCCATCCATTCTCTGCAGAAATAAATAAGGATGTACCTTGTATAATGGATATGGTCCTGAGCATTAGGTCCTAATTATTGCTTTAAATACTTCTACAAGGTTAGATTAAAGAATGGTAATGCCAGAGAGCATTGTCATCATCACCAACTAAAGAGGACCAACATCAGACCTGGAGTGTTAAATTCAGGGTCTTCACAATTCTATGAAGTAGGTTTTGTTGGCTATGTTAGAGATGAAATCAAGTTGAGAAAATTGTGCTGCTTCACGTTGCCTAATAACTAAGTTATTAAGCTAGAGTTTGGGTCAAATTCTCATAGCTCATGGGATGAGGATTTAGCTCAGCGGCATAAGTGCCTGCCTTGCAAGCAGACAGTCGTGAGTTTGATCCCTGGTACCGATAAAAAGGAAAAAGACAAAAAAAAATCTCAGAGCCCTCTCCTCTCCCCTTATCTTCTTGTTTTTAAATTTTATTTAAAAGGAAAAAGAGAAAAAAACAAAACAAAACAAAGCGGTGTAAGGGTACAAGTAATACAGAACTACAAAAAAAAAAAAAAAGTAAGAAATCACCAGTTAATAGATTACACATTATCATCTTAGAGATAGTTGCTCAAGTCACAGTATCAAAGCATACAAAGTGGACATTCAAATAGTGAGACTGCAAACAGTTGTGTTCAATGATCCAACCAAAAACATTAATATGGTCAGCTATTTAATACCCCTAAACACACTTGCAGTTGTATCCTTTAGAGCACTTTTTTCCCCCTCTCCTTTTTACAACAAAATTTACACATTTTAGGTTTTATTACTCCTTAGTTCTTATTACATTTTTTTTGGAAGAGAATAAAGTCAAATATGGCAAAACAAAGCTGTCAGTCAAAACCAGGGACAGACATAGCACATGATGTAAAAACAGAGTACAAGGTTATCAACAATGGTTACCATAATGCCTCTTGCTTCCTTAAAAAGAATTGTCTATCTCATTAGGTCTCATACTCTCAAACTTGATACTATCCTGCAGAACGGAACAGAGTCTAATCAGTCAAAACAAGATAGTGGGAGTATTACAGGACTTCAAATCAAGTTAATAGGAAATCAAAAAAGTTACTATAATATATCCTGCTAATTTTTTTAATTTTTCCCCTTAATTAAGAAAGCATAAAAAATTACTAAATAATTTTTTTAATGAATAAGGGAGAGATTGAGATAAAAGAGGACATAACAACATAACAATACAGGTCTAAGCCTGACTGTTTCAGCAACCTAGTGCTTCACCACCAAATAACCCAACTTAACAGTAGTTACCATAGTGTCTGTCTTTTTCCTTGAAATATTTAAATATAACTTCATATACTATAGCTTCAAATATTTCCATATCAAGAAGCCCAGAATAAAGCCATTCCAATTAATAAGTGAAAACTTTACAAGGCTTCAAGGCCACATAATGAGGAATCATGATTACCACATACTTTTATATATTTGAATCATTACTTACGTTAGGGAAACTATTCAGTATTCACACATGTGAGATTGATTTATTTCACTTATGAGTATGGTCTCAAGCTGCGCCCATTTATTGATAAATATCTCAATGTGATCCTTCTTTATACTTGAGTAATACTCCATTGTATAGAAATACCACAACGTTTTTATCCATTCCTCAGCTGATGGACACTTAGGTTGTTTCCAAGATCTGGCGATTATAAATTGTGCTGCTATAAACATAGGTGCACATATATCACTGTGATATGATGCTTTCAGTTCTTCTGGGAATATGCCTAGAAGTGGAATAGTTGGAACAAATGGGACTTCCAATCCCAGCTTTTTGAGAAATCTCCAGACTGACCTCCACAAAGGTTGTACCAGTCTACACTCCCACCAACAGTGCAGGAGAGTTCCTTTTTCCCCACAGCCTCTGCAGCATTTGTTGTTGTTGGTTTTCTTGATCCTGGCCATTCTTTCAGGAGTGTGTGGTTTTAATTTGCATTTCTCTAATGACCAATGATGATGAACATTTTTTCATGGTATTTATTTGCCATTTGTATTTCTTCATCTGAGAAGTGCGTATTCATCTCAGGTGCCCATTTTTGGACTGGATCTTTGAATTTTGGGGGTCTGAGTTTTTTTAATTCTTTATGTGTTTTAGACAAGAGTCCCTTGTCTGAGTTGGGGAGTTCACTAAGATCTTTTCCCAGTTTGTGGGTTTTCTTTTCACTATGCTGGAGATTTCTTTTGACATGCAGAAAATTTTTAATAAGAGGTGGTCCCAGTTATTGATTCTGGGAAGTATTTCCCATGTGGTTTGAGTCCTGTTCATAAATGCTTTACAGTAAGGTGAAAGAGAGACCAGGATTCTCTTTTATCTACTTGTTCTGCCAAGAAGTATATTCAAAACACTTTCACAAAAATACACTTTAATTCTACATTGGAGATTGCACCATAAGCAATATGGATCCAGAATCTAAAAAGCATTAAAGATTACATGCACTAACCTTCCTTCACGATGTCAATTTTAAGACTACACCCATCATTTCCCATTCACTTTTTCATATGCAACTCCAGAGTTGCTCAACACTACCCAATTAAGCTGATTTCCTTTCTGCAAAAAAAGGTATGAAATATTGTACCTGCTTCGTGTCGCTCCAGGCAGGAACATTATCTAGTGCCCATCTTTACAATGCACTTAGTTAATTATTTATAGAATTTCTTCACAGCTTAAGTGATGCCGGTAATGTACAACACACACACACACAAAAAAAATCTGCTAGAAAGATTAGTTTTTATTAAGTTATAAAACAACCATATTGCTGACATTTAAGTCACCAAGCATCCGATTGTAAAGAAACACCTTGCACAAGAGTTGCTTTATTATTACAGATTACTCCGATTCCCAAAAGTTTCCTAGGCAAAGTCCATCGCCTGCATTTTTCCATCACTAGGCTCTCTAGAGCCACATACTATCAAGCAGTACACTAAGTACTATAAGATTTGATATAATGTGTTGAACAGTGATAATAAATTTTAATTTATTAGAGTCATTGTATGCTAAAGATAGCATAAAATTCCTACCATTATTATTTCCAATAATGGTTAATAGAAGGTAATTATGAGATGCCTTTTATCTCAACTGTTCTGAACTCTATAGAACAGGAAAGTTAACCATACCAATCAGTTAGTTTAGTGTGGGTGCCACAGCCCCAATATTTGTGCCTTGCTAGTTAAATTCATAAAATTTCTCATTTAATATTTTGAAATTTTTTCTTCAACTAATGAGAAAAGTTAGCCTGTTTTCCAATCATGGGTGACATAAGATCAAGGGATCTGGGATAGATTTTAAAATCTTAATATGTGCTCCAGTAACTCTGAAGCAGGTGGGCCCTGAGAATGGCTTGTTAATGGGATGTAGTGTCACGTCTAGGGATAGAGCAAACCTCTCCTGGCAAGGTGCCTATCACCAGTGACCCACACCCTGATGCCAGGAACAGTAATTTTAATCATTGTAAGTCTTTGTTGCCCACTTTGTTTTCTGGGACAAGCAATAAGGTATAAAGATAAAGGCAATTTCAACCTTTTGGGAAATGGCTAGATTGTTTAAATCAGTTAGAAGTCAAGGACAAGTGATTCCAACTTACCTGAGGCCAGCAGGGTAGGAACGGTTCACCAAGCCCTGTTGCATGCCGGAAGCTCTCAGCCTCTTGATCTCAACCATCTCCATCTTCCTCCAGTCTCCCACCAGCTTTCCCTCTCTGCCACATCTTCTGAGCTGTGCTGCTTCCCATTTTTAACTCTTCTTTATCATTAGGAGTTAAGTTTGAAGAAATTTTTATCTTCACTGCCATTCATTTAAAAATCAAGGGGTTCCTATTTCTAGTTTCACTCATAAAAGCTCACTGAATTTATTTGTGCTTTGTTTTGTGTTACCTTTCTTTCTTTCTTTCTTTCTTTCTTTCTTCTTTCTTTCTTTCTTCCTTTCTTTCTTTCTTTCTTTTTCCTTTCTTTCTTCTTTTCTTTTTTTTTTTAGCAATGCCAGGGATAATACCCAGAGCTTCTGCACTAAGCTGCAAATCATCCTCTTTGAAACAGTGTCTCACTAAATTCCCTGGGCTGGGCCTAAAGTTGCTATTCACTTGTTTCAGCCTCCTGGGTGCCAGGATTACAGGTATGCACCACCATGGCTGGCTTCACTTTCTTTGTGTAAGGCTTAAGGCTGGAACTTTTAGAAACACAAAACTTATGCATGTTTTCTCTCTGGTAGAGGTATGCATTGCTTTCCATAGAGCAAAATGCTCAAAACTATGTATTCACAATTCATCTACTGACCTGAATTAAATGTTTTCATATAAGCAGATGGTAAAGGATACAGATGCAGGGAAAGAACTCACACCACAGACTGACTCTCCCATGGCTGTTGTGAAAAATCACCATGAACCAAATGACTTGACCCAAACAAGTTTATTATTGGATAATTCTAGATAGCAAAAATGCAAAACAGCTTGTACAGGCTAACATCAAGTTGTGAACAGAACTGCATTCCTTCCAAAGGCCCAGGGAGAAGTCAGTTTTCTTGTCTTCTCTAGCATTCAAAGGAGACCTGCTGTCCCTCACTCATGACCTCTTTGTTCATCTACAAAAGCTATGCTTCTTTGGCCACATCTCCTCTCTTTCCTGCCAACCCTTCTGTCTCCTTTTCACAAGAATCCCTGTGATTCCTCTGAGCACATCAACAATCCACAATAATCACTTCATTTAAATACCCTTAATTCATTCACACCAAAAACCCCTGTCATGGTTTATGTTTGTGTCCCCCAGGCCTCATGAGTTTGCACTGTTCATTTGTGATGGTTCATTGTATAGTGCTTGGATTGATGGGTCAGTGCTCCACCCACATAGGGGTGGAGCCAGGATGTGATGTAATGGCAGGAAGAAGGTGTGTCTTTCTCTTTGCTGGTTCGAGCTTGCTGTTTGCAGCCGCCATGAACTGCAGCCCAGCCATGCCTGCCTGTCTTGGAGCCAACTGAGTGTGGACTGAAACCTCCAAAAACTGTAAGAAATAAACCTTTCCTTTCCCAACTTGGGCATCAGGTATTTTGTTTCAGCGACGATCATAAAGTAACTAAGACAGAAATTTGGTACCGAGGAGTGGGGTCGTTTGCTGTGACTATACCTGGCCATGTTTTTCAAGAGGCTTTGGAAATGGCTTGTGGGCAGAGTTTGGAAAGGTTTGGACATGTCGCCTGGATGCATAGAGCTGGAGCAGCTTAGGCTGTTCTGTAGAGCTCAGGAGACCAGAAGGCTGATGATAGAAACCCTCATGGTAAAGACCAGGCTTGGGAGGTTTCTGCTGGGAAGGACTGCATTGGTTGTTGGACTCCACATGATGTATGTTATGGCTTGGCAGAAAGTTTGTCTGCATTTTGCTCCTGCCCAGAGACTTTGCCTGAGACTGAGACAAAGGGCAATGGACTGATTAATCTTGAAAAAGAAATTAAGAAGCAATCGAACATTGAGGCTGTGGCATGGCTATTGTTGGTGGCTTTCAGCCAGCTTTATGTTTCAAATCAGGAGCAAAGAGCCCAGCAGGATAATGTACAATGCTGTGAGTTTGGCCCAAAGGAAGATTCCAGGAAGGGTGTGGATTATAAAGACAGAGTTGAGATTTTGATTCCTGAGGAGAAATAGAGAGATAAGAAAGATGGCCCTGGGGCATCCCAGGAAGCAGGTCCCCACCCTGTGCAGCCTCACAGCAAAGATGAAAAATTTTGCTCAGAGGAAAAAGGTACAAAGTGCCATGCTCCAGAATGGCGACAGAGGCCAAGTGAGGTTCCAGAATGGCGACAGAGGCCACATGAGGTTCCAGAATGGCGGCAACACAGAGAAGCTTTTTCTCACAATCAGGTAAACAGAGCCCTGCGATCCAGGCAACTGAGCCCTACAGCCAAGAGAGAGAAAAGCCTGGCTACTGCTTCAGGTAGCAGCAAACCTTGGCGGCATCCACAAGGTGCTGATTTTAGGTGCAAGGAAAATGAACAAATTCTGAGGGTAAGACAGCTTCCACCTCGATTGCAAAGGGCCTGGCTGGCCATGCAGTGTGCCCCTGAGAGGGCAATTTGTGAAGATGTAAGTGTGAAGCCGAAGGTGCAGTGGAGACCCCAGAAGTTTGGAAAAGCCAGGAATGTGGATGATCCAAGGAAAGCTGCAAAAAGTGAGCAGAGAGGATTTAAGAGAAAAGCTGCTGGAGTTGAAATCGCTGGAAGTGCCCTGGGGGTGGAATCACCCAAGGCTTTTGGAACTTGCAACCAGATTGCTTCAGATGCTGAATGTAGAACTCTAGGACTTAATGTTTGCCCTGCTGGATGTTGGAATTGCTTTGTTTTGAATGCTTTCTATTCTTCTGTTTGTAACTTTTGGAATGGTAATATTTATCTTGTACCTTTGCATTTCAGAAATGTTTAACCTTGTTTCTTTTGTACAGGGGCTTATAGTTAAGAGTTTGCCATAGATCTTGGAGGAGACTTGGGACTTGGACTTTTCAGCAATGTTGAAGCTGTTAGGACTTTGGCAACTCTTGGAGATGGACTAAATGTCTTTTGTATAAAGGATGTACATGAGTCCTGGGGGCCAGGGGTGGAATGTCATGGTTTATGTTTGTGTCCCCCAGGCCTCATGAGTTTGCACTGTTCATTTGTGATGGTTCATTGTATAGTGCTTGGATTGATGGGTCAGTGCTCCACCCACATAGGGGTGGAGCCAGGATGTGATGTAATGGCAGGAAGAAGGTGTGTCTTTCTCTTTGCTGGTTCGAGCTTGCTGTTTGCAGCCGCCATGAACTGCAGCCCAGCCATGCCTGCCTGTCTTGGAGCCAACTGAGTGTGGACTGAAACCTCCAAAAACTGTAAGAAATAAACCTTTCCTTTCCCAACTTGGGCATCAGGTATTTTGTCTCAGTGACGATTATAAAGTAACTAAGACAACCCCTTTTGTCATATGAGGAAAAATATTCACCAGGAAGTAGATGAAGACATATTAGGAGAAGAACATTATTTAGCCCTCCTTGCAGAAAACAGTACAGCTAGGAATCCTAATATCAGGACTGGAGAAGGGTAGCCCCTTAGGTGGATGTGAGAAGGTTTGACTCCTGAAAGACAAACTTTATCTAAATCACAGAGCCAGGTCAAGTGTGGGAAAATTTTAGAATCAAGTTTTGGAGTCAGGCAAACACGAGGCCTCAGTGTCCTTATACTGTAAGTAGATTAGTAATGGTGTCCACTCAATGATAGGCTTATAATGAGGATTTTAAAAGATCGCATATGTAAGGTAGCTGGCATTTGGTGATCATGCAACTTGACTGATAGGTAAGACAGAGCTAGAGATGATATCAGTAGTCCATTTCAAACTCTTCCCTTCAAGACCAAAAGGACACAATGAAAGAGAAATTGCAAATGAAAAGTGATGGAATCCTGCAAGTGACCACAAAAACATGATGAAGTGACTTCCTCCTTTCCAGAAGCTGTAAGTTTTATATCCAGTGGTCAAGATTGCTTGCCAAATTACATGGCTAATTTCTGTCCAGAAGAAAAAAACAGCTCATAATATAATTCAATCAGGAAGCCATTTCCATGGTAACCCAGGACCAAGCTGGGTTTCTTTAAAAACATTGGGTTGCAGGATCCTGAGAAGATGGCAGATTGATAGGTAGCAGGGCAGAGAGCCTTTCTGAGAAAAACAACTCAGACACTAGAATTTACACCATGGAGAAGACCAGACAAAAGGAGAGGGATTCTCACGACCCAGGAAGAAACTGAGGGAAAAGAAAAAGAGAAAAAAATAAAAGAAAGGAAAGAAGGAAAAACATGGACGAAAGGCTGGAACCAGACTCACTCTCACTGGAGCTGGTCCCATGCTGTGCTGGGTATGCCTTGGAGCCAGACAACTCACAGTTGCGCTGAAGTTGCGGAAGTGTCAAAATTGGGGGTTGGTGAGCCCAAGACCCTTGGCAGGAAGACGTGGTGCAATGGCGAGCAGAACCAACATGGAGAGCTGCACTAACCCGTGGTGTTAGGAATTGGGTCCTGTAGAGGGGGTGACTGGCTGGATGACATATTGGAGTTGGGCAGGAAGCCCTGACCCGGGAACTGCAGTGGCATCAGTCGGCCACTCCTAACTCAAAGAGGACTGGTGGGAACTGCTTGGGCTGGGTCACACCCCTGGTCGGGACCCAATAGCCAGAGATAAAACTGTTCCTAACCTGTGACGTCTGCATGGCACAGACTAATGTGCTGAAGTCACTTGCTGGTTGACTGGCTCAGAAGAGTGGGGCCAGTCCACATTGTCCCTGTGTGCACCTCAAGACCAAGAGCAAACTGGAGAGGGCAGCAATCTCCTAGCCAGTGCACCTCAGAAAAACTGTAAGCAATATGAAAGGGCTTGAGACCTCTACCATACACCTGTCTGAAAGAAACCAGAAACATCACAAGAGAAAAAAATAAGAAAAGCCTCCAGCTGCTGACCCATGTAGAATAAGTCCAGGAGAGGTAAATGCAGAAGAGATCCAGGGCAACAATCATACAATATCAGCCACAGCATCAGCAGAAATAAAGAAATACTTTCATGATCTCAAAGACAAACTTAAAACTGAAATTCTAATTCAAGTGAAGCAAGATATAAAAAGATTAATAAAAGAAATGCTAAGCACCTCTCAAGAAGACACAGATGGAAGAATGGAGGAAACCAGAAAAAGGAGAGAAACGTTTGATGAAGAATATAAATAAAATTTAGAATACATGAAACAGATACAAAGAGATTACCAGGAAATTAAAAACTCCATTGAAAACTGGCAAAATTCCTTGACAGAAACTAAAGTTAGACTTTCAAAACTTGAAGATAGATTTGCAATGTGTGATTGTGAAAGGAATGATCTCTTAAAAATAACAAGGAACCAGGAAGTAACAATACAAAGACTAAAAGATGACAAGAAGATCTATAACTTAAGAATAAAAAACGTGAGCAAAGAAGCAGGAGTATACACGAATTAAATACAAAGGCTATTCACAGAAATAATTAAGGAAAACTTCCCAAGCATAGGGAAAGGAAATGATATTCAAATATATGATGCATACAGAATTCCAGCCATCTACAACAAAAACAGGTCTACACCCAGACATATAATAATCAAGATCCCAGAAATTCATCATAAAAACAGAATATTAAAAGCAGACAGAGAAAAGAAATAGATCACCTATAAAGGAAAGCCCATCAAAACCATGAGACTTCTCAACACAAACTATCAAATCAAGAAGAGCTTGGAGCAAAGTATTTCAAGCCCTGAAAGAAAATAACCTCCAACCCAGACTGATGTACCCTGAAAAACTGTCTCTTAAAATTAATGGAGAAACAAGATGTTTTCATGACAAAGAAGAACTGTGGGAGTTTGTGACCACCAATCCAACCCTACAAAAAATACTGAAGGACATTCTAGAGAGAGAGAAAAAAATCACCAGGATTCCAGCAACAATGGCAGAGAGGCCTCATTGAATGGAGCAGACAGTGGAATGCAGGAGAAAAGTAGACAACCAACAGCAGAAAAATAGCATAGCAGAGATGAGGCAGAGAAGACTAGCTATAATCTCTAACACAAATGGCCTTGATACACTAACAAAAAGAAACACAGGCAGAGTAGATCAGGAGATAGGGTCCATCGAGATGGTCTGAATAGGAAATATAATCTACCTGAAAGGATTAATGAACCGAAAGTCAAAGATGAGAAAACAATGCTCTATGTGACACAGGGAACCAGAGAGAAATAGGGACAGCTTGTCCAGCAGCTTCAGATAGGTTGGAAAGTCATGACACTTTTGTGCAGTGGAGAACTACTCAGCTAGAAGGAAGAAAATAGATAAAGGAAGTAGATAAAGTAATACAGCTCAAGATAAAGCTCAGGGGTAAAAAGGTTCAGCACCACTTAGGTAGATAATGGGCTGCCCCCCTAATCTAAAAACTAAAGGAGTTAGTGGGATCCAAAGTGTACAGTGCACCCTGAGAAATGGAAAGGAGAAGAACTGTCTAAAAAAAGAAGGCAGAGGACAGTGTTAATAGTGTATCAGGATTTAAAAGCCACATTAGTCTTATAGCTCTGTTCAGTTTGAATTCATTCTGTTCCAGTCTGTCTACTCATTCTAGATTTGAGGGCACAGAGAACTATCCCAAAACTAGCAGGATTTACTACAGTAACTATCCTTAATGTCCTATTAACTTAAACTGAAGCCCCGTATTACTTACACTGTGTTACTATAACTGATCTTATTTGAATCTGGTTTGTTAGATTGCCATTTTGTCTTGACTGATTTTATTCAAATTTGGTATGCTTGATAGTATCAAGTCTAAGAGCAGAGACAACTACTCTGAAGACAACAAGATGCAATAAAATACCCATCCTGGTTTGATTATTAACTGCTTTTGAAGTCCTACAGTGTCTCCAACGTTTTGTTTTTATTAATATTGTTATGTAGTGCTATGTTCAGTTATATTATGCCTGAGGATATAGACAATTCTATTGAAAATAACAAGAGACATCATAGTAGCTACTGTAGATCACCTAGTATTATGATTTTATATGTCTTTTTCTTTGAAATCTGTTTCTTAAATTGTTTTCTTATGATGTTTTGTTATGTTTAATTTTACCCTGCTTAAAATTTTAAAAACCAGAAATTTTAAAAAACATTAGGTTGGACCAGTGAGAAAAGTAAGTCTGATAAAGCGGTTGGCTCTGTACTGGTGGCAGCTGCCTGGCTCAGCCATGCTGCTTGGCTACTGTCTCTAAATGTACAAAGCAATAACTTTGGGAGTTGGTGCTTCTGTAAAGCTGACTGTATCTCATTAAAGTTCACAGGTTGAAAGCTGCTCCTTACCATGGTGATATTTGGAGATGGGGCCTTGGGAACATAATCAGGTCGTAAAGAGTCTGAAGTTATTATGCTTATTAAAGGTATCCCAAAGAGATGGTCACCAATGAACAAAGAAGGAGGCTCTTTTTACAAACACTGAATCTTCCAGAGCCATGACCTCAGGCACTCTGGGCAGTTGGAGGTGGGGCAGGAATGGTAGTGAAGTATACTTCCTTCTCAGGCAACATCATTTTTCTAGCAACAAGACTTGATAGTTGGAAACAGCCCAGAGGTCAGGGTACTTCCAGAAACCTTGAGCTGGACAGTTCTTCTGGTTGCATAACCTGCAAGATCAATTGTAAGCACAGGTGTGTCCCATCTGGAAGCTGATTTATTTCTCTTTGGAACAGATGAAGTGGTGGAATGGGGTCCTGAACAAAGCCTAGAATGACCCTTTTGGGTGAATGGTGATTTAGCTCTTACACTTACAAAGAAGACTGAGCTTCTTTTTTGGCTCCCACATTTTATTGGTGCTTGTATCCTGTGACCTACTCTGTCACAAATGGCTCAGGATTTTAAAAGTTACAAAAGTGAATTTGAGGACACCAGAGTAGAGGGGCCATGGAGTGGGGGCAGGACACAAGGGAACAGATGTGGTTCTGGCATGGGTCAGATGGCCATTTTAAGCAGTACAGTTGGCACAACTCCCTGTCTGCATGAATCAAGATTCTTGCGGCTACAAGAAACAGAAATGTAACCGGAATCACTCAAGCAAAATAGATTCATCCAGGGATACTTGTAAGCCAGGATGCAGGCCATCTCCAAGAGTTGAGGACCACCTTAAACAGTGAGCATGATGGGTGTCAAAGCTAGGGACAGGCTCTGCATGGCTCCAGAGGTAGCCCTGGGCAAAATAACAGACTATTTCAGGACACAGATTTTTTGATCCAGTGTAAGAATGAGTTGCCTTTGGGGACAAGTCACAATTCCTGTGTCACTCAAAAGTGGGAAGCAAACAATGTTATTGACACAGGGGAAATAAATATAACTCCCAACCTACCAGGTGCCTGATATGCTGAGTTTGTGTTCCCAAAAGCTGAACAATGAATCCTAATGAACAATGGAACTTAAGAGTAGGAAAATTTTATATAGATAGCTCCTGAGGGACAGGAGGGGATTGAAACATGGATTAGTAACAAGCTCACTTCTCAAAGGAAGTTTTATAGAACAAAATTAAGAGGTGGGTACAAAATGGGCCAAAACTATGATCAAACAGTAAGAATAAAAATGTAGCCACTCCAGTAATATGATCCAGTGGGAAAGCTGATCATGCAGCAAATGTAAGTGGAAAGCACAAAGATCTTTTTAGGAGGGGATGGACCAGGATGTCCTAGTCACCCACCTTTACTGGGCTGGACTTTGCTGGACCCGGTGATACCACTTCCCCTTTGGAGAGGCATGCTGAACTGATCATTTGTCTTTATTTTGAGGTCTGAACTTAAACAGTTGCACCGCCAGCCACAATTGCACTGTGTTCTCATCCTCAGCATTGACTCTCTCATGGCCTATCCCTTTCTGACTGCCTGTATTTTTTATCTAACTTAGCTTTCTAAAATAGTGTCATGCGATTGGGTCTGAAAAGGTCTCCCAGGCTGAAATAAGGAATTTATTCCACTCTTTGGTAGAATAAGTTGGAGATTGGCTGACTTTTCACTGCAGAAAAAATTTTTTCAAGGCACATCGGGAAGAAGCAAGAGACAGGTTTATCAGGCAGAGATTTTAGGATACACTCAAGAAAAAAGTGCAGATGCTCAGAGAAGAATGGGAAATATGAGCTAGAGCTGGGAATATTTAAGGAATGTTGGGGGTATCTTCAAAGTGGGTGTCTAAGATGTCTTTGCCTACTGTCTGCAAGGTTACCTATGTGGCAGTTTATGTAAACCGTCTCTGTGTTGAGACATGGTCCCCACTAGTATTGCTACTTCCTTGAACGTGAAAAGGACAGGTGAAAAGCACAGGCTTAGAGTCCAGTTTTATAGGTTTGTTGTGTCTTGAAGACCTTTAGGAATTTTTTTAATGAGTTTATGTCTTACAGCCGCAATTAAGCATGATTTTAAAATTTCAATTTCCTTGTCTCATTTCTGTCTACATTTTATTTTTTCATTGTACTTTGGTGGTAATTTGTGGAGGACGTTCTGTTAGATGGCACGCTAACGTCCATTCATTGCATCTCAGGTTTTGAAAGGCTGCCATCACTGGACTTGGAGTAGAGCCTGGACACAGTGTGTCTTGCTCCATACTCATCCTAGAGCTTGGAGACATCCCCTGTGATTGATCCTAAGAAGGTTCTGTGGCCAAAGGCTACATGAAGTCGTTACCAGGTTGTAGGGTGCTAGAATCTCCTTCTTCATGTGGTTTCCAGGTTCTTTCTGTCCTGAGCAAAGAATTGGTCGAGATCCACACAAAAGGTACTGAGGTTTTATTTACATTTATCAAAAGTAAGAATAAAAATGTACTCTGCAGAGTGACTTTGGGCCAAGTAAAAAAAGAAAAATGTACTCTCTACAGGATGAAAGTGAACCACTGTGAAAAAGAGAACACAGCAGCCAAGAGCTCAAGGATGGCTGTCTTGTGCATCTCCCACTCCTCAAGCTGATGTCAGGTCTAGACCGTCCTATCAAAACCTGCTCAAGTTCCTGCAAGAAGAATTGAACAAAGCCAGGTGCAGGGCTTTGGGAAATGTTCTGTGAATACATCCTGGAACTCTGTGATCAACTCCCACTGCCCATTTCCCCAACCAGTTTGCCTTAATTCCTTCCCCCTTTCCCCCAAAAGACATAAATCCTCATAATTTTTTATGGGGTGCTGAAGTAGAAGTTTCCATCTTTGTATAGATACTTTCTGCTGGAAGGGGCTATTGGCCCTGCCTAATGAGGATTATGTCCTCTCCAACTTCCTTAGGATGTTTGTGGGTCACCAGCTAGGTTGGGAAAAAAACCTGAAGTAGTACTGGAGTCTTGTTTTATGAGGAGGAACATCAGAGGTTCACAACCATAGCTTTCTCCGCAGTCCTGTGAAAATTCTAATGACTATTTCCCATGCAGGGCTTTTATAGCTTTCTCCTGTGCCCCTTGAGGAAGACCACCTTAAATGGTTCCTCAGGAACAGGAAATAAGGCTGAGGTCTTGAGGTGCTCCAAGGCCGTGCTTCTTCTGCCTCTCTGTCAGACTTGTTATTTCTCAAGTAGAGTTTAAACATGTCTCTCTGGTGTCCCTTACAATGAATTGCAGTGATCCATATGGGAAGAATAGCTCATGCCCTCCTTCTTGGTAAGCGACCATGGCACAAGCGAGAGGCAGACGAGCCAGGAAGAGAACCAGTCAGAGTCTCCCCTGAGCCTACTGGTGCCAAATGTCCCATTTCCTCACCCCACCCCCATTAGCAACTGGGAGCCAGAGGTCTGAGCATCTCTTGGGAGGACGACCATATGCAATACAGCAAATATGGAGGATTTCCTTCTGTATTCTCTTTGAAGGTAAATGTTTTCACTGTTTTGCTCTGTTTTGATTAATTGTTTTGCTCTATTCAATATTCTGTTTTGATAGGTTTATAATGCTCTGGTTTTGGTTTTATTTTGCTATACCTGATTGAATGGACAATTATTATGAAGAAAATGAGATATAGTATGGTAGTTATTACTGATATCCCAGTATCCTGCTGTGAAGTTCTGTACCAATTTCACTGCAATGTCTCTGTTTGCTTTGTTCTGTCTGGTTCTGTTGTATTTTATTATCTTCAAAAAACAAACAAACAAACAAAAAGAATAGTCCTAATCCAGGTGTGGTGGTGTATGCCTGTAATCCTAGCATTTGGGAGGCTGAGCAAAAGGATTCCTGTGAATTCAAGGTCAGCCTGAGCTGCACAGTGAGTTCAAGACTGCCTGAACTACATAGGGAAAGACTGTCTCAAAAATAAGTAAATAAATAAAAAGTCCTGATCTGGTGAAATGTTAGGACTTCTAGTTTTTGCCCCAAACTTAGTTTCATAGCTTCTTCTGTTAGCATAGTTGAAACTGCTACTGCCCTCAGGCAGAGTAGTGATTTAGCAGTCACTTTGTCTAACTGTTTTGAATACTGTGCCACTGGACAAATTCCTGTCTTATCTAATAGGCAGAGGAGGAAGCATTTCCTTAAGTTAGGTATTTCCAGGGCTAGAGCCTAAGTAAGGGCATGATTCACTACCCTGTCAATCACACTGTCAGTCATGCACTGAAAGATCCAATGGTATAAATCCTAAGCCAGATGTGCATTTCAAATCCTCAAGCCCAACACATTCTGCACCTGTGTCATTTCTCTCTTCTGCTTGTACCATTATGTTTTCCATTCATGCCACTCTCCTTTCTGCCAGCGTGAGCCTAGTTGCTCTGAGCATGACTTCACCTTTTAAACATTATTAAACTTAGGTACTTTTCCCATACTATTATGTACAACATTCCACTCTTTTTTCTTCATGTGCAAGAACCTAGAAACACATCCTAGACCTGCTCACCCAAGGTAACATACATATATGCATGTATACACACATTATACATATACACATATATGTACATAGATGTATGTACCTATATATATGCATCTCAGCATAGCTGAGCTGTGAAACAAAGCTGAGTGAAAAAAATTATATAATAACACACATCATACTGTATGTAGATGACCATACTGTCATCTATAAAAATCTTGAAGATATATAAAATAATATGCATTGCACATGAATTTATATATATGAAAAAAAGATATGAGAAAAGTGTGTAAGAAAAAGTGAATAGTAAAAATTGGCTTGGGGTGAGGAGGCAAGAAGAATGGAATTGAAGGGAGATGAGCAAAGATGCTTCCTTTTATTTATTTTAAAAAACACAAATACAACAAAGTATGAAATATTAGATCTGGTCAGGCAGGACACATGTTTGCTACACTGACAGACAGAAACAAGCTGAGGCCCTAAAAACTGGTTTTGACAGCATGCCCTAGGGTGGGGTTTAAGATGACTTTCTAGTAGGTCTGCCCAGCAACTCTTCTGCCTCACACCAGACTCCATTACACTTGGCCACCACCCTTCCTTTGTCTCTGCCTCCCATCTTTCCCCAGACCCACTCAGCTTCAACCACATGCCACAGAAGGCAAGATGCTTGCTCTATTTGTATAAAAAGACAGTACCTCACATCAGAACCTGAGAAAGCTGCTGGTAATGGGGGATTCCGGACACCTCGTGAGGATAAGGAACAGAGGAAGGCAGAGGTGCCCCTAAGTAATCGTCCTTGGCACCCTGAAGAAGACTGAAATTAGTCCAGAACCCATATCTCTTCCTGAGAGGAAGAGAGCTTATGAAATGGAACAGGTCTCACCTCTCAGGCAGAGTTCTTACATCTCGGTCACTGTGTTACCCATGCCGATCAATATGCCTTTTTCCAAGCTCTGCCCCAGGTAGGTCTGGAGGGGCCCAACATCCATAGTAGGGGAGCTCCCCAGAACCCATGTTTTTTACCATAAAACAAGCAAACAGAGGTCTAAACCAGTGCCCCAAGGAAGATGAAGTCCTGCTAATCTATAACGGGGGCAAGAGAAAGTGGATGCATTGGGAAAGGACACCAGCCCCCGAAGAAGAAGATCAGAAAGATGTTCCAAGCCATGGGTGATGCCCCTCTGTCCCCTGGGTCCTAAAATAGTCTCAGATCTCAAAACAGCTAGAGCCAGGGAGCAGCAGTGGCTTCATGCAGAACAAGTTGAATACTGAAACATCTGCAGACATCTGCAGACAGGTCTGCATAGCCACTCAGTTTTCATTCATTTTTGAGCTATGCAAGTCTTACTTCATGCCTTGCATTAGAGTCTGTGCATGAGGTCTGTGCTCTCGTGGCACTTACATTTTAGCAGGAAAAGTGATCAACAAACAAGCAGATCAGTGAGGTGGGTGTGTATGGAATGGCTAAGTGTGACTGGAGCAGACAAGGGACAGTGGGTTCAGTTGGGCTCTGAGCCCCTGCGCCAGGCTTGACAGTGCTTCCATAATGAGGTGGAAGATGCTGCCCACTTCTACCATCAGACTGGTGTATTTGTCCTTTCTTCTTTTCTCCTTCTGGGCACGAGTCCGGTTCATACTCTGGTGGCCCATACCCACCTGGAGATACACGGCATCAGGTCACCCCCTAGTGGACATACCATCCTCCCAGCCAGATTTACCATGTGTCCTTTCCTTCTTGCCTATCCCTGTAATAAATATTTTAGATGTTCTGGCGCTCCGATGCAAGATGCCTAGCTCATTGTACATGTCAGGTTCTCCAGAGAAACAGAACAGAATATAAATAAATGGAGAAAGAGACATACTACCAGGAATGACTCAAGCGGTCATGGAGGCTGAGAAGTCCTACCAGTGCCATCTGTAAACTGGAGGCCCAGGGAAGCAGGTTGTCATTCCTGTACAAATCTGAAGATCCAAGAAGCAGAAATGCTTGTGTCCTTGCTCATAAAGAAAGAAAGCAAACAAACTCTGCCTTTTGTTTTATCAGTGCTCTCTGCATATATGGGGAGGTCACCTTGAGGGGTGAGAGCTGCTTCTTCACTCAGACTACTGACTCAAACACTAATGTATTTTAGAAACAACCTCACACACATGCTCAGGAAAAAAAAATAAAACATCTTACCAGATGCCTGGGTATCCTTTAAGCTTGCCAAATTTGACCGTAAAATTAGTGATCATGTTACAGAACCCAGGTCCAGAAACTCATCTCATGGAAAAACCAATATCTAAGAGTTGGAGGGAAATAAAGGCTTTCTTCAATGATCAAAGAATAGTAAAAACAGAGGTCTGCTCGCAAATCAGCTTCTCCTCCAAGTGAGTTGAGGAGTTACTGACACAGATATGGAACAAAGGGGAGAGTGTCAGACTCATTTCTCAGAATGGGCAAAGATCTTCCAGGAACTCAGGTGTCATCTATTTCTCTCCTTTCATGGTCTAGTGTATCTGGTTATGGTAGATGCTAACCTTGAAGGAGAAGAGTGAAGCGGTCAAGTTACCCCTGTGCTATAGCTCTGGACAAATCATTTCTCAATTGATCAACATGTCTACATGAAAAGGAGTAGAATCTGACCCAAAGGTTAGCATACTAAAGGAAACAAAAACACCATGAAAACAGAGATCCCAAGCCTCTTCACTTCTTTCCAGTCAGGCATCAGACACGTGCAGTGTGGAGTGAGGAATCAGTGTTACCGCATGTCTAACACACGTTGGAGATGTCATCCACAGTGAAGCTACGGAAGACTAATAAATACATTGTTCAACTGTGTGATCTCCAAAATTATTGATTTTTAAGTTGACTAACGGCAATCTGGAGGGTTTATGTAGGCTTTTCCTTGGTGACGAGGAAGTAGTAAAGTTATAGAATGAATTGGTAAGAAAAACAGGCCTTGCCAGGGATTTAATTTAGCGGCATTAAACACCTGCCTGGCAAGCATGAGGATAAAAGTTCGATCCCCAGTTAAAAAAAAAGTCCTTGTGTGAGCAGGTATCAGACTGTACCACAATTAGCAATCTGAACACCATCAAGAGGGCTTGGCAGGATGAAGGAAGGAAGGACAGTGAGCATGTTAGCCAGGCACATGGGCCTGGGCAGATGGACAAGGCAAGAGACAAGTATTTCCCAAGAACCCAGGAGAGGGGAGGCAGCTGTGTGGAGGAAGCAGCTCTTGTTCTTATTACAAGGACAGACCACTGCCCCATCCTGCCCTAGGAAAAGCGTCTGTGCATATAACATGTAGAAATGTGCGGCGCAGGTGGCTTACCTGGAAACCCACAGGGCCATATGTCTATTTTGTCACATTTTCCATTGGCCTCCTTAGTCTAGTGCAGATTTGCTTTCATGGGAACATGTGTTTCTGTCATGGGAAAAGGATGGGGTCAGGGAAGCCTGGAAGGAATGCAGTTGGAGCCACGTGGGAGCCGTCTGCTACGCTGCCAGCAATTGCAAAGGAATTTTTCATTTTTACTTCAGGTTAGTGTGCAAGCTTTGGCCTGCTGGGGAATCTATTCCTCTGGGAAGTTATGCAATGAGAAGCCTCTGCTCACCTTTGTTTAGAACACACCTGCCTCAGGGCTGTGGCCTGGCCCAGTGTGGGCCACTGCCTGGTGCCACAGCAGAGTCTTTTTCTGAGCAGACAGGACCTCTTTCTTCTTCTAGGGCTTCATTGCGTGTCTCTTGTTGTTTAGTTTTCAAGATATTTTTAATTAACTTTATTTTTAGAGCATTTTTAGGTTCATATCTACACTGAACAGAAAGTATGGAAAATGCCCCTGTACCCACTGTCCTCCCACCAGACCTCCCCCATTAGCTACAAGTGATGAGTCAACTTTGACTCTCACTGTCTCTCAAACTCCACAGCTTCTAGTAGAGTTCACTTTGGCATTGTGCATTTTATGGGCTTTAGCATCAGGATGTATCCATCATTGCAATAATAAGTTTTATTGCCCTAAAACTCCTCTGTGTGCCTCCCACTCATCCCTCCCTCGTCACCCTATAGCAATCATTGCATAATTTTGCAATCTCTCCATAATTTTGCCTTTCCTAGAATGTTATCCACCATAAGTCCCTGACTTACTAATATTCGAGTGGCAAAGTTTTGGGACACAAAAGGACCTCACGATTACAAACATTCATAGATGTGAACAAATCACAGAAGTAGCTCACTTGTCTGCCAGCCACTGTCACAGTGGTACTGCTGTGTGCCTTCTGTACAGTGAGATAGGGCACAGCAGGGTGGTACAATCTGGGACTCACTGTATT